GACAGGAGATGCAGTGCAGAGATCATGGGGGCAGAGTGCAGATGTGCAGGCAGGTCTTTTTAGCCACACAGGGACCTTGGTTTTTACTGAGACTGAGATGGGAAGCCACTGGAAGGTTTGAATGAAGAAGTGATATGATCTGGCTCATGTTTCTAGAGAGGATCATTAGGCTGCTGTGTTGCAAATACATTGCAGGGAAGGAAAGGAGGAAGCAGGGACACCAGGAAGGCCAACGGCAATTTTCTAGCTGAGCAATGATAACAGCTAGGACCTGGCTGTTAGCAGTAGAAATAGGGGGAAGTGGCTGAATACTGAATAAGAGTTGAAGGGAGAACCAACACGATTTGCTGGTGCATTACATGTAAGCTGCAAAAGGAAGACTAATAGGGTATATACATTATTTATTCAGAAATGTAAATGCACTGGGAATCCATGCTTAGAACCTCTTACAGGGTTGCATGAGGAAGTGTGGCAGCCATTACAATAGACGATGGATAGTCTACAGGGAGACACTGAGGAGAGAGACATCTGGGGGACGACAATGAAAGTTGGTTAAAGAATGAATGGGGTTGAGCCAGGATCCAGGGAGGGAATGATGAGGTCAGCAAAGGAAGAAAGATGGCTCTGCCCAGGCCTGTCCTCCACCCCGGAATACAGGATCATGAAGTTATGGTTTGAGGTCTGGAGCAGTAGCTGGAGGGTAGTTTGTCCCACCCTTGAACTCCAGGTCCAGCCTTTGAGACCTTTTATAAGTCAGTAGGGACTGACTGGGAGATTTGACAGGGCAAGTGAATGGTGTAAGTTTGTTTCAACAGTTTGCTCCTCTTACAAGCTGTGAGTGAGTTCCATTGTTGAATCAATTACTGAATGTTAACTCACTGGCCCATACAGGTTTTGTTTCCAGAGAATGATCTATGGGACCTAAGAGATGGGTGTGTGTGTGTGTGTGTGTGTTAGGGTAATGCCTTTGGACTTCAAGTGTTTGCCATACAATAAAAATAACTGTGACAATATTGCTGAGTTTCAAAAAGCATTGTCTATGTTTGTAAACTAGTTAAGGTTTTCTGGTGAATGCCACTGAATCACTCTTCCGCTCACGGGAGAGCTGCAGGGTCTTGTTCGCACACGTCCTACCCGGTCCTGCTTGGCACTCCAAGATGATGCACCCAAGTGCCTCAGGCATAAACAGAATGGCGGAAGTGCCCTTTTCTCTGTCTGTGTTTGTGAGGCAGCCTCTTCTGTGCCAGGAGAGCTATTTTGGGAGGATGATTCATGTCACATTTTGGCCTCTTTACGGTTTTAGGTTGTCAATGGTGTTGGCTTCCTGGAGGTGTAAGTTTTATCTTCATATGCATACGGGAATACCTGAAACTGAAAAACGAACTTTCTATTCCTGAGCTACAGTCTACACTATAAGCAGATTAATAAGATATTTCTCAAAATACTTGCCTGACACTTTGGTGTAGTAGATTAAGCCTCTGCCTGCAGTGCTGGCATCCCATATGGGCACCGGTTCGGGTCCTGGCTGGCTGCTCTATTTCTGATCCAGCTCTCTGCTATGGTCGGGGAAAACAGTGGAAGATGGCCCAAGTCCTTTGGGCCCCTGCACCCACACAGGAGACCCGGGAGAAGCTCCTGACTCCTGGCTTTGGATTAGCCTAGCTCCAGCTGTTGTAGCCATTTGGGGAGTGGACCAGTGAATGAAAGATCTCTTCTCTCTCTGTCTCTGTCTCTCCCTCTCTCTGTAACTTTGCCTCTCATAAATAAGTAAATTTAAAAAAAAATAAACAAGATCCTAATTATGAAAAACATGCTTCCAAAAGAGTACCCATCACTTGTGGCTGTGCCTCCATTCTCCATTTCCAGACACAGATGGAGACGTCGAAGAACTGAGTGTCTTATTGTTGAAAGCAGATGATTCTGTAAAATCAACACTGTGCTCTCTCTTTTGAAATAGTGTGAAAAGTGAGAGCAGGTGTTAAATTACTGTATTGTTGCCTGTGGTTACAAGTAACAGGAGGCACAAGATTATTCAAAGTTTATTTCGATGTGGATGACAAAGTAAGAAGTCATTCTGATTATTCCAGTTTGCTTTTTGGTAAACAGAGTGCTACTGAAAGGACATGGCAAAATGTCCTGTTTTATTTGCTGGCTAAAAATGCATGATAGCAATAGAAGTGAGAAGCACTTAGCACCTGAGCTTGTTTTCACGCTTTGCAAATACCGTGCCTTTAAATGGTTTATGGATTTGTCTCCTTACAACTGAGTTTGAATAGGAATACAGAAAATGGGTTTGGCAAAATCATTCTATAATGCTGAAGAAATTTCTTATCCTCTCTTAAAGTGTTTAAATTGGCAATATATTATTTATTTTAGAATTTTAAATTATAGGGGCCGGTACCGTGGCTCACTTGGTAAATCCTCCGCCTGCAGCGCTGGCATCCCATATGGGTGTCGGGTTCTAGTCCCAGTTGCTCCTCTTCCAGTCCAGCTCTCTGCTGTGGCCTGGGAGTGCAGTGGAGGATGGCCCAAGTGCTTGGGCCCTGCACCCGCATGGGAGACCAGGAGGAAGCACCTGGCTCCTGACTTCCGATCAGTGCAGCACCGGCTGCAATACGCCAGTTGTAGCGGCCATTTGGGGAGTGAACCAACGGAAGGAAGACCTTTCTCTCTGTTTCTCTCCCTCACTGTCTACAACTCTACCTGTCAAATAAATTAAAAAAAATTTTTAAAAAGAATTTTAAATTATAGAAGTGAAGATATAAAAATTATAAACAAGTAATGCTAATGAATTTCTGGTTGTTTGGTAATTTTGGTGGCACAGTGTTTGGAAAAAATTACCATCTTTCTGATCCACTGACAGTGAGACAAGTAGTCCTCTCATGCCTTGAACATGTGCTTTTAAAACTTATTTTCTTGGGGCTGGTGCTGTGGCATAGTGGGTTAAGCTGCTGCCAGCAGTGCTGGCATCCCATGTGGGTGCTGGTTCAATTCCCAGCTGCTCCACTTCCAATTCAGCTCTCTGTTAATGGAATGGAAAAGCAATATGAGATGGCCCAAGTGTTTGGGTCCCTTACACCAATGTGGGAAATGCAGAAGAAGCTCCTGGCTCGCTCTCGCTCTCTCTCTCTCTCCCTCCCCCTTCCTTCCTTCCTTCCTCCCCCCCCCCCTCTTTCTTTCTTTCACTTCTTTTTAAATATTTATTTGAAAGACAGAGTTACAGAGAGAGAGAGAGAGACAGGGAGAGAAAGAGGTCTTCCATCTGCTGGTTCACTCCCCAAATGGTTGCAATGGCCAGAGCTGAGCTGATCCGAAGCCAGGAGCCAGGAGCTTCTCCCAGGTCTCCCACATGGGTGCAGGGGCCCAAGCACCTGGGCCATCTTTCACTGATTTCCATAGCAGGGAGTGGATCAGAAGTGGAGCATCTGGGACTAGAACCGGCACCCATCTGGGATGCCAGCATCACATGCAGAGGCTTTACCCACTCCTCCACAGTGCCAGCCCCTGTAACTCTGCCTTTCAAGTAAAATATATAAATCTTTTAATAAAACTATTTTCTCATCCATCTGTAGTTGGTGTCCTGCATTTGGATCTGCTGACCCATGCCATTTACAGAGACTTACTTATCTTTAATATTTCTCAATTAACAATAAGCCAAATGCACTACAAGATATTATTTGATTCTAAAGTGATGTTTTGAAGAATATTAGCAATTTAAGGGCATTTAGACAGCTCTGCCAATCCAGCTGAATCCAACTGGGGAGCCAAATCTGGCCTTATTGGGGTCCCTCCTCCTGCTAGAACCTCCCAGCTGTGATAAGTGAAACCCACATTTTCCTTTTACTTATTTTTTCCTTCATTATTATTTATCTTTCTTATTTTAAGACTGTGTTTCGTTTTTGTTTTACTTGCTTTTGGCTACTTTATGACAGCCTCCTTAACTACCCTGGATCTCTAACAAATTTGAATTCAGTGTTTCTGGGGTGGGACTTGAACACTTCTATTAAGAACTAAAACAAATGCCCTAAACAGCACTCTGGCCTCAGAATCAGCCCTAAGGCATTCGAATTTGGCAAAAAAAGCCCATGAAAGTTTCTCAGGCATGGAAAGCCAAGACACTGTGGCAAAAAAAAAAAAAAACAAAAAAACAAAAACAAAAAAAAAAAACAACAAAAAAAACCCATCTAAATCAAAGATCTCTGAGTGAGATCCCAGTGGAAAGAACTGGCCATCAAAGAAGGAGGTACCTTTCTCTGAAGGGAGGAGAGAACTTCCACTTTGATTATGGCCCTATCTAAATAAGGTCAGAGTTTGTGAACTCAAGAGGCTTCCAGAGCCTTGGCAGCTCATGACAAGAGCCTCAGGCGGTTACTGATGTCTTAAGTAAGAGTGTCAATTGTTAAATCAACAACGGGAGTCACTGTGCGCTTACTCCCCATGTAGGATCTCTGTCCTTCATGTGTTGTACTATGAGAACTAAAGATAAAACTATTGTTCAAGCAGTACTTTGTACTTTGTGTGTCTGTGTGGGTGCTAACTGTTGAAATCTTTACTCAGTGTAGAGTTGATCTTCTGTATATAAAGATAATTAAAAATGAATCGTAAAGAATAATGGAATGGGAGATGGAATAGGAGATGGGATGGTTTGCGTGTGGGAGGGTGGTAATGGGGGGAAGAACTGCTATAATCCAAAAGTTGTACTTTTGAAATTTATGTTTATTAAATAAAAGTATCAGATGCTAAAAAAAAAAAAAAACTAAAACTAAAGTGATCAAAAAACTCTCCAGAGGATTCTGATTCCCTCAGAGGACAGCAGGTAGCAATTAAAAAAGGGGCAGTATTGAAAAGTGAAATGTCAAGAGAGACACAAACTTCCGATGTTTCTCATTTTTTGGAGACTATTTCACTGGGGCAGTTCTGTGGTAGGGTGGGGGATTAGTGAACTGCACATGCTCCAATGAATATACTGCTTTTTCACATTTCCCCTTCTGTCTTCTCAGCCATCATGTATGTCATGGGAGCACTTGGCCCTGCAGTGGGATACTTGTTAGGTGGACTTCTTATTGGTTTTTATGTTGATCCCAGAAATCCCGTTCACCTTGACCAGAATGATCCGCGTTTCATCGGAAACTGGTAAGAATGGTTTTCTATATTTTTCATTTCACTCCTTACTGATAATGCTAGTGTGATAACAGCTAAAAAAGTTCCTATCAAAGAGAGTAAAATAGTAAAAGTCCCCTGAACAGTGGCAGTAGGCAGAATGATTTCCACGGCTCCCACCTCTCCCCCTCTTCATTTAGAGAACCTGTGAATACGGTGCCCTACCTGACAGAAGAGACTTTACAGATGTGCCTGCGTGAAGGATCTTTGAGATGGGGAGATGATCCTAAATGAACTGGATGTACCCTATTTCATTAAAAGATCCTTGTAAAGGCAAGAGGGAGGCAGGAGGGCTGTGGGCAGAGAAGATAGTGTGATCAAAGCAGAAGCCAGGGTGATGTGCTTTGAAGATGGAGGAAGGGGCTATGAGCTAAAGAAGGCAGGCAGACTCCAGGGAATGGGTTCTCCTCTCGAGCCTCCAGCAGGGATGCAGCCCTGCCAACCCAAATTATCCAAGTTTAATTATCTAACATGTATTTGGGGGCAGAGAGACAGAGAAATGGCAGACAGATGTATATAGAGAGAGTTCCCATTTTATGGTTTGCTTCCCGAATGCGCACATCTGGAGCCTGGAAGAGGCTGAAGCCTGGAACTAGAACTCAATCCAGGTTTCCTGGGGTGGCAAGGAACTGTACTTGCGCCACCAGCTGCTGTCTTCCATGGTGTGCGTTAGCAGGAAGCTGGAATTTGGGTTTCTGATTTATGATGTTCCCTACTGCCCAGAACTCTAGTCTGGTCACCCTGTCAGTGGGTGTTTTCTCTTGATAGTATTTTCTTGCCCTGAGTGTGCTGGAGTTTTAGCTGCTGGCTCACTTGCTAGACCCTAATTGTTCTACAAAATAAGTAACATTTATGACTCAGAACAAGACATTCAACTCTGGAGATTATATTATTTCCCTGAATAACCAGAGTTGTGTTTTGAGTTCTTCACAGTCCTTAACTTGAACACACTAAGTTATTTCTTTATGATTGCAAGCACTGACAGAAAATACCAGTGTCCTGAATTCATTTCACATAGATTAGAATAAATATACATTGGTAAGGAGTTTTCATTTTATAGCAAAGAGATTACTTCTGTATTGGCAACTGTGTGTGTTTAGTAATTTACTTTTTAAAGAGTTTCTTAAAGTACCTTGTTCTCTGTGTTTCATTATAGGACAACAGCCACATGTTACCCTAGGAGACTAGTGGGAATAATCTATTTTTAAGGAGGTTAACAAATATCAATAACTTATCTTCATAAGTAATGCTCTTTGACATTAGAAGAGCTAAAAATCTAGATGAGCTTGACCTCATAGAACTTTCAGATCTCACAAAGAATTCCCCTATCAGTGTTAGGGAACTAACACAGGAGTTTTAGGGTTTTGGCTCCTAGTGTAAATTTGGTCTCAGCTATTCTCTTTGAAATTCTGAAATCAATCAGTGTAAGATTTTTTTTTCATGGTCAGAAAACTGGAGGATTAAAATGAGGTTATGAGCATCCAATGTATATGCTCTGTTCTCTACAGATGTCATGAGAAGAGCATGGAATCAGGGCCTATGTGGAAGGAAAGAAAAACTGGGGGAACCAGCAAAGGGGTGGGGAGAAGGCGGGCAAGTGGGAACTTTAGTCTTACAGGTGCTTCATGCTGACTCTTAAAAATGTTCTAGTAGACATCATTGCAACTGGTAGCAGAATGGAGAGATTCCAAGCTCACACCCTAAAGCTGTGCTCCCCTAGGTTTAAGTTCTTCTCTGCACTCAAGAGTGACATGACTTTGAGGAAGTTACTTCTTTGTGCCTCATTTAAAAAAATTCATAAAGGGAAGTAGTTATAGTACCAAATTTCCAAGGTCGTTGGGAAGAATGAATGAGTGTTTACATACGTAGACTTCTAAACAGTTCCTGCTCACTGGAAAGTGTTAGTTATTCAGTCCTTTGAATGTAGTCAGTGTTCACATAAGTTGATCCATTTAAAGGGCTCAGTATTAGTTCTATGAGTGATAAAATGATCAATATAGAAATACACAAATCTATTTAAAATACATTTGAATTTTATTTACTGACTAAGTACTGTTTGTAACAGACTTGAACCTAACAAAGGCACAGTTATTTGATATGATGTCTGGCAGTAATGATTTTTTAATAAATAAATGTGAAAGTTATGGAAGGAATGAGTGGATAATGCTAATATTTACTGGCTGTTTACTTTGTGTCAAGCATTATACTAAGAGCTTTGCAAGCAACCATATGTAGTCCCTAATATTATGCTCATTTTGCAGATGAGAAAATTGATGCTCAGGAAGTTAAATAATTTTCCCAAAGCTCAGAGTCAGGAGGAGCTGGGATAAGAAACTCACTCCAGGGTGAGGCTCTGAGTCAATATATTTAAATAGCCTCCTTTGGTGAATGGTCTTCAAGTAGTGGCTTAGGAAGGAGTCTAGGTACCTTGACTTCTCAATTTTAGCTATTGATGGATCTTTCCTCAACATATAATGCACATCTTCTTGCCTTATTCAGGTTTCCCAGAGCCATCATTATGTCATGAGTTATATAGATTTGAGACTGTTTTTTTTAAAGATTGATTTATTTATTATAAAGGCATAGATACAGAGAAAGAAGGAGAGAGAGAGAGAGAGAGAGAAAGAGAGAGAATCTTCCATTCACTGATTTATTCCTCACATGGCTACAACAGGCAGAGCTGAGCTGATCCAAAGCCAGAAGCCAGGGGCTTCTTCTGGATCTCCCACGCGGGTGCAGGAGCCCAAGCACTTGTGCCATCCTCTGATGCTTTCCCAGTCACATTAGCAGGGAGCTGGACTTGAACCGGTGCCCATATGGGATATCAACACTGAAGACAGAGGCTTAACCCTCTATGCCACAGCGCCAGCCCTGGAGACTGTTGAAGCATGTGGACTTGGAGGCTTGTCTGCTCTGCCTGGAAATGGCCTCACACTTCTGTGCTATTTTTGTTGACTTGCTGCAATTCTTCCCCTTCTGTTATATACTCTATTAAGAATATATTTTTTATACTTACCTCTCATTTTACATCAATGGCTGGGGATGGGATGGTGGGGTGGCTGAGCACAGATTTACATAGAATCGAAATAAAACAAACCAAATTAGCTAACATTAATTAATTGCTGATTTGAGGACAGGCATTTTTTTTTAGTATACACACACACACACACACACACTTCACACACTCTTGTTGACTCCAGCAAACACTTCTTATTGTCCCTCTTTCACAGGAAAAAGCTAATTTGGAAAAGCAAACTAATTTCCCTAGGATCTCATTGTTAGTAAGTGGTGAAAACAGGATATGAACCCCCAACTGTCTGAAACTACAGCTCATGAGCCGCTCCCCATCACTGCCCTCCATTGTCTGCTGCTGCCCGCCCCTGCCTGCCCCCTTCTGGAGGTGTGGGGAACTGAAGGAGTTTGGAGGACTTGTGTTTAGAGTTAGTGCAGGGAGAGGTAAGTGGGAGGAAGGGGCCGACAGATGAGGGCCTCCTAAGCAACCAAGTACTAAAGAGGCTGGACAATATCATAGCTATGTTCCCTGCAGATTGATGGCATTTTTAAAAAACCTCTCTCTTTCAATTTACTTATTCAACAATTTTTATAGTACCTAATCTGTGTATCTGCTCCAAGCAATCTTCTCAAAATAGAGCCTTTTCCTGATTATCTTAAAAACATTCTCTGATGTAAGTATATCTTTGAAAATAGCACACTGATTATTAATGACTGTTTTTCTCAACTGCACCATGACCTTGAGCACAGTTGATCCAAACATGTTTTTTTTAAAGATGAATTTTCACTTTGCAAATGATCTCTAGCCTTCCTGGATCAAATTCAACGTTAATGTTTGGGGCACTGCTTGTATTTCAGTTAAAGTGGGTGGGAAATTGTTTTTTTTTTTTTTTTTTTTAAGATTTATTTATTTGGAAGGCTGAGTTACAGAGAGGCAGAGGCAGAGAGAGGTCTTCTATCTGCTGGTTCACTCTCCAGATGGCTGCAATGGCCGGAGCTGTGCTGATCTGAAGCCAGGAGCCAGGAGCCAGGAGCTTCTTCTTGGTCTCCCATGCGGGTGCAGGGTCCCTAAGGCTGGGTCATCCTCCACTGCTTTCCCAAAGCATAGCAGAGAACTGGATCGGAAGTAGAGCACTTGGGACTTGAACTGGTGCCCATATGGAATGCCAGCACTGCAAATGGCAGCTTTACCCACTACACCACGGTACTGGCCCCCTAAAAATTTGTTGATACAGAGGACAGAGTCTGGGCATTTATGAACCTGGAGGCTCTAAAGGCAGAATGTGAAGCTGATGTATCCTTGTTAGAAGTGTTGGCCGTGTTAGGTAGGACTGAGGACCTATGCTTGCCAAGGAAAGGTTGAAGGGGACTGGGAAATTGTCCATGAGGAGTTATGCAGGCAAGAAGCACAAGACCTTAACACATGGCTCTGACACTGGACTGGAATTTGAGTTCTACTCTTGGTATGTGTCACAAGCTGTCTGCAACACAGTAATCTCAGATGAATTGGGACAGAATCCCAAATCTACGTCACTGAAGTGCTGCTTCTCCCAGGAAACTTTGATACACATTAACCTCCCCTCTGAAGTTTCATAACATTTGAAATCTATACAACATAATCCAACATTTAATTGAATGTGTTTTTGCATGTCTTAGAGATTGCATCTTATATTTTTGGCTTGCTTGCAAGTAGATGATAAGTTCTTGAAGGTGAAGTTTAAGGCTAAGTATCTCAGCCTTCACATTGGTTAAGAATTGAGAGGACCAGCTAAGTGGAGGCCAGTAGATTTTTATGTGCTTATAGATAAATATTTGAATATTATCAGCAGCTTAAAAATATTTCACTTGAGATATGACTTTTTTCCTCCTGAGAATAAAGTTTCTACATTGGTCCACAAAGCATGCTATGTATAGAGTCTGTTCTATTTTTCTATCAGATTTATAATTTAGTGACTTATTACAAAATGCACATTGTAGAAGGGTTAATGATGTTAGAACTACACATAAGTGCTCAAAAGTACTTAGTTGAATTCTAATCAAGGCAGTTAAGTATAATTTTTGTTATAATACTAGTATAATGATTGGCTAGATTTTCTATTTATACCACAGAGGGGAGAATCCTTTGGTTTCTTAATTTGTTCAGTTTCCTCCTGCCTCACAATTGTTCCAGGCTAAAAGTTTTCTCTGGAGACTTTTATCATTGAAAGCTTCTGCGTCGCTGATTTGTTCTTGCTTACAAAACAAAAACCAAAATGCTATTCACATCTCCCAATTTTTTAGGTGGAGCGGATTCCTCCTTTGTGCCATTGCAATGTTTCTTGTGATATTCCCAATGTTTACTTTTCCAAAAAAGCTTCCACCTCGACACAAGAAAAAGAAAAAGAAAAAGTTTTCTAATGATGCTGCCAGCGATGATGATGTTATGAAAGAGAAATCAAACAACAGTGACCACGTGGACAAGAAAGTTTCTTCTATGGGATTTGGGAAGAATGTCCGAGGTAAGGTGTAGCTCTTGAATAAGTACGTGTATAATCCATCAGTGCTCCCCGAGGTGCAGTTCTAGGCGACAGCTGCCCACAGCCCACCGCTGTCTGGTACAGGTCAACAGGCAGATAAATACTGAAATGAAGAATGAGGGCTGCACAACTGTTTTAGAAATTGGATTTTGTACTTTGATATCTGTTGAATCGAGTAGTAATAAAAAGTTGGGCTTCTACTTTGCTTAATTTTAAAAACACTAAATTGCCTAATAATTTATCATTAATGTATTTTGCAAATGTATCCATAGATGACAGATTGAAAAGAATATTCCTACATACATAGATTGAGAAGCACTGGTTTAGATAATAAAGATGCCAATGTTTAAATATATATTTACAGTTATTAGGGATGTCTGGTTTGAAAAATATTGATAGCGTTATACAGGGATAATTTATTTTAGGGGAACAGTGGCTTTGGTGGTGTGGTCTGATCCTTATGCAAGTATAAAACCTGCTACTAGAAAGAGATATCATCTCACAGTGGCTCTGTCAAATGCTGGTGTATGGCTATGGAGAAGCACGGCTGGGGGTGGACCTCCAACTCCAGGGCAAAAACATCCAAAAGTTCAGTGATGTTCTGGCCTATTTTTTCTTTTTTCTTTCTCTTAAAAACTGTTTTATTAAAGCTGTATTTGGTGATGTAACAGCTAGATAATTAGAATTGACTTTAATTATATAATCTGTTTAGTATGAGAGGTCTTCAAAGAGTTAACACAAAATGCAAATTATGGAAAAAGCTATGCACACATTTCAAAGTTTTTGTTCCAAAACAAGCTTATTCTTCAATTCCATTTCCCATGAACTTTTTGAAGTACCTTTGTATGTGTTGAACAGAAGTATGTCCTTTTAATTCAAGAAACCTATAATACTATAGTCACATTCATTTTAGACTTATTTCCTGAATTCTCTGAATTGATTTTTTTGGGTATAAATTATGAAGCATAATATTTACCAAGGACTTATGGCAGTCAAGGTTATTTTAAGTTCAATTTACCTAGGCACATTATCATTTCATTTTGACTATGCATGCAATAAGGGCAAAGATGAAACTTTAAGGCTTAGAATAAAGTTACTAACATATTATAGGCTTCTCTTTACAGCCTCAGAATAATGCATTCAAATTGGACCATTTTTAAAGATCGCATTTGTGAAAGCAAGTGCAAAGACAATTAATTGAAAATTCTTCTCCCTACTTAAGGTTAAAATTCTCCCTCCTCCTACATATTATTTTGAGATAGTTGCGTTTTGGAACTACCATTATGACTTATTTTTTAAAAAGATTTATTTATTTATTTATTTGTGGGTCAGACTTAGAATTAGAGAGAGAGAGAAATCTTTCATCAGCTGGTTCATTCCCCAAATAGCCACAATGGCTGGGGTTGAGGCAGGCTGAAGCCAGGAGCCAGGGGCTTCTTCCAAGTCTCTAATGTGGGTGGTAGGGATCCAAGAACTTGGGCCATCTTCTGCTGCTTTCCCAGGCCATTAGCAAGGAGCTGGATCAGAAGTGGAGCAGCCAGGAATTGTGACTTCTTTTGCTCCAATAACAAAGGATTCTCTGGATGACAACATGGCCTGAATTCTTCCCCTTTGTGGATCAGCCCATTTTTTTTTGGTGGATATTGTTATGAACAATTATGGCCACTATCATTGGAGTGATTTTTTTTTTTTTTTAGAAAAAAACAGTTCAGTTGAGAGCAAGGTTGATGTTAAATAATTCAATACATAAAAATAGACTTAGAATAAATATAGGAGAATATAACGGAGACTTATGGGTAGAAATAAAGGCAAAGGCAAGAAAACTGTTTTGTAGCTTTGAGCTAGATGACTTGAATATGAACTACGTGGTGTATTGGTTGGTAGAAGATAGGGGGAGAACATTGATATATAAAAAAAAGCCAGAGTGCATACAATCTGTTGCTGGGCATGAAGTGCTTTGGGAGGGTGCAATGTAGGCAACACTGTCAGTACTCCACCCACATTCTTGGACCTTAGCATTTTCATGGTGGAGGCGCACCAACTTCCAGGACCTTCATTATCTGCCTGAAGATTTTCTTTGTAGACTGGGACAGCTATGAGGCAGTTCTTGTGGGATGTTTCATGTACCAAAGGATTAATGCTCCTGGTCTCCCATTCCCCAAAGAAGTTTTAAGTAAATGGCTGATCAACAATTCAACTTTCCTCTTCCTATGCTTGATGACCTCCCTCCTGGCCCATTGTTTTGAGAGCCTTCCACATAAATTCCTTGGACTTGAATTCTTGTCTCTGGGTCTGCTTGTGGGGGAGACTACAGGTAGATCAGCAGATTCAAAATGATAAAAGCATCAGAGAATATAAAAATGACTTTTGGCAACAACAGGAGTCACTGTGCACTTACTCCTCATGTAGGATCTCTGTCCTTAACGTGCTGTACACTGAGGCTTAATGCTATAACGAGTACTCAAACAGTATATTTCACTTTGTGTTTCTATGGGGGTGCAAACGACTGAAATCTTTACTTAATGTACACTAAACTGATCTTCTGTAAAAAAAAAAAAAAAAAAAGAAAGAAATTATCAATTCCCAACTTGACTCTCACTGGGATTAAACATGACAATAGGTCTGATCTGATTTCATCATCATTTAAAAAAAATCATCTATTATTTTTCACTTTATGTTTCTGTGTGGGAGCAAACTGTTGAAATACTTACTTAAGGTATACTAAGCTGATCTTCTGTATATTAAGATAATCGAAAATGAATCTTGATGTGAATGGAAGGGGAGAGGGAGTGGGAAAGGGGAGGGTTGTGGGTGGGAGGGACGGTATGGGGGGGAAGCCATTGTAACACATGAGTCGTACTTTGGAAATTTATATTCATTAAATAAAAGATAAAAAAAAAATAAAAATGACTTTTGGGAATGGAAATGTTTGAAATGGAAATGTTGTATTGGATATCTTCCTGGACTGCTAGGAGTTGCTGTTCTGCCTTTCCGATGTTCAGTTTAATGACTCAGGATATCTTCTTTTAAAAGAAATAATAGGAAGTGTTGTTGCACAGTGATAGGTACTTGGTTTCTAAAATCTGTTTCTCTTCTGATTTCCTTGTTAGTATTTCTGACAAATTCTCCATTTTCAACTGTGGCTTGATTATAATGAGTGACCCCACTTCTGTGGCTGAGCCTCCTGATTGAGACCTAGAGGACAAGCTCATTTTTGTCGGTTCCTCTCATTCTGAGGTTCTCTAACTGTACAAAGGCTAGAACTGCAAGAGACACATCATCTTGTTAGAAAGAAATGCTGTTTCAGTCAGATGATACGGAAAATGTTTTGCCAAAAATGATTCAGACAATATTGATGACACTGAAATGATGTTATTAGAATCTCTTAAATTTTTTAAAGAAAGCTTTTATTTAATGAATACAAATTTCATAAGTACAGCTTTAGGAACATAGCTGTTCATCCCCCATACCTGCCCTCCTACCCCCACTCCTGTCTCACCTCCTACTCCCTCTCCCATCCCATTCTTCTTTAAGATTCATTTTTATTTATCTTTATATACAGAAGATCAACTCTACACTGAGTAAAGATTTCAACAGTTTGCACCCACACAGACACACAAAGTATAAAGTGTTGTCTGAAGACTAATTTTACCATTAATTCTCATAGTACAACACATTAAGGACAGAGATCCTACATGGGGAATAGTGCACAGTGACTCCTGTTGTTGATTTAACAATTGCCACCCTTATTTATGACATCAGTAACCACCTGAGGCTCTTGTCATGAGCTGCCAAGGCTCTGGAAGCCTCTTGAGTTCACAAACTCCATCAGTATTTAGACAGGGCCATAATCAAAGTGGAAGTTCTCTCCTGTCGCTCCCCGTCTTTGTGGAGGAACGACACAGGACCCTGCGCTGTTCTTTTGTCTGCTCGGCCCTCCCCGGGTTTGCTGCTGGTTCTTCCCGGGTTGGCTACTGTCCCTTCCACCTCCGTGGAAGGGCGGTTCCCCCTGCCACATTCCCCACTTCCGCAGGGGAGCGGCACACCGCCGGCCGGCTCTCTTGGGGGCTGCACAGGTGTTCCCCTTAGATGTTCCCCTTAGATGTTCCTGGTGCATGCCGTCTCTCTCCTCCTTTATAGTCCTCCTCCGCCAATCCTAACTCGGCTGCCCACACGCCGAGTACGCTGCTCTCCTCCAATCAGGAGCAAGTCCTAGAGTTTATTGGCTGAACTGGAGGCAGCTGTGCAGAAGCTGTTTTCTTCTCTCCCAGCACCATATTGTGGGAGAGCAGATGCATAGAATAAGTCTTAATTCCAGTAACAGTATAGTCCGAGTTGCTCCCCACATCTCCTCCTTTCAGAGAAAGATACCTCCTTCTTTGATGGCCCTTCTTTCCTCTGGGATCTCACTCACAGAGATCCTTCATGTAGATAATTTTTTGCCACAGTGTCTGGATTTCCATGCCTGAAATGCTCACGTGGGCTTTTCAGCCAGATCCGAATGCCTTAAGGGCTGATTCTGAGGTCAGAATGTTGTTTAGGTTGTTTGTCGTTCCATGAGTCTGCTGTGTGGCCTGTTGGAGCATTCTCTCCTTTTTAATTCTATCTATTATTATTATCAGACACTTGTTCTTATGTATGTAATCCCTTTGACACTTAATCCTATCTATATGATCAGTTACACACTTAATATGATCACTTTAACATGTAAGATGGCATTAGTGCCACCTGGCTTAATAGGATTTGGAGTTCCATGGCAGGAATCTTTCAAATTAATTAGTATTTACCTGGTACACATTGATGTTCTCTAGCATGTCTAATACACATCCCGTATAGGAAGTCTAATAGCTCTCTGATTCTCAAAAGGACAGATTAAGTCCCTGGGAATTATTCTGCCATTCATATAGTTTGTATTACAAAGCTGAGAGTCACTGTTATGGCCTCACATTAAACAATGGTTCAAGGATTTCATTTTGAGTTGA